TCAGAAATAACAAAAGCTTATCCATTCAGCCAGACTCCAAGTGAAGGGCGGGGTATAAATCCAATCTCTTCTTCTCTTCTTCTTCTTCTCTACCTTTGTCCTGGGATTCTCAAGATCAGTCCCAGCAACCACCAGCCATTACACTCCAGAGCTCCTGTTTCCTCCAGTCATTCCTCCAGGTAATGATGGCAGAGTGTAGAACCGACCTTAGGCAGCACAGAGATGAAGGTGGGAGTTGTGGTCTTCGTCTTCCTTTTAAGACACAAAGGAATCTGGGTAATGTCATATCTGCAGCCTTGCAACAAACACCCTTTCATACTCCAGTCTTTTAAAAGTAGCTGCGGTGGCTCAAGTGGTTAAGACGCTGAACTGCAGGCTGTGGAAGGTCAGTAGTTCAGCGGTTCAAGACCCGGGTGCCGCAAGACAGGGTGAGCTCCTGTCTCTAGTTCCAGCTCCTGCCAACCTAGCAGTTTGAAAGCAAGAAATTGCAAGTAGATAAATAGGGACCACTTCGGTGGGAAGGTAACAGCGTTCCGTGCGCCTTGGTGTTTAGTCATGCCGGCCACATGACCACGGAAACGTCTTCGGACAGCGCTGGCTCTTCGGCTTTGAAACGGAGATGAGCACCGCAACCCTAGAGTCGGATTCGACTGGCTTTCGAGCAAGGGAACCTTTACCTTTACCTTTAATAAGATATGTCTCACTGATTATTGAAAACCACAGCAAAGGTAAACGTTGCCTATAGCATGTTTCACTGGTCGACATTCATCATACTCTCTTTTTAAAAATAAGATGCTCTAAAGTAACTTCTAAACCTTGAAGGGAAAGTGGGAGGGAGGGACAGGCTACACTTAGGAGTTGTACGGATGTTTATTTTTTGAGAACTGACGGCACACTTCTGCTGGGGCTACACCGGTCCTTTCCCTCCAGGCCACCATTGTAAAAAGCCCAGCACCCAAGCCCCAGTTTTCTCTCACTATCTAAATGTTATTCTTGTCAGCCTTCCCCACCCACCTGGATCACTGCCACTGTTTGCTGTCAAGCATCTCCTTTAGTGTGTGCCATATGGTTGTCACCTACTGGTCAGTAATATCACCAGCACTATTGACAAGATACCTACAGCACAATTGACCTGTCTGACAGGAAGAAATTCAAGGTGTGAGTGACAAGCCAGTATTTATAAGCACATATGAATTATTGGGGGTGAAGAAAAGTGGAATGGAGTGGAGAGCAGGCGGCATGGTATAGCTCGATCTCATCAGATCTTGGAAGCTAAGCAGGCTGAGCCCTTGGATGGGAGACCACCAAGGAAGGCTCTGCAGAGGAAGACAATGGCAAAACCACCTTTGCTCATCTCTTGCCTTGAAAGTCCCTTGCTGGGGTCACCATGAGTCAGTTGCAGCTTGATGGCACATATGTACCTAAGGAAAGTGGAGATCAGTCTGGTGAACTGGAGAGGATTGGTATTCACATCAAGACTCCCATTCAGACTTATAATCCTTCTTGAGTGGCCCGGAGCAAGACTCTTGCGCAATCTGTGTCAGCCCTTATTCCAAAAGAGTGGGATCTCACACCTATAGCCCCAAGAATGGAAGAGTCTTGACAAAGCAGCAATCGTAACAGTCAAAAGAGAATAGAATTTTAGCTCAATATTACAGAGGCTCATGCCAACCATCTCTTTATACAACAGTGTCCGGATTTAACTTGATCAAAAAGGCTGACAACTGGCTAAAGGCATTTTAGGTGATGAATCATCTTCCTTTAACAGATCCTTATTTTCAATACATTCTAGTTCTAAGGCTATCATCACCCAACCCAAGGGCAGAATTCTGTGCTGTCCTAAGCAAAGCTCCAGTCTTCTAAGTCAGTTGATTTCAATGGACTAAGAAGGATGCAACTCTGTTTAGGACCGCACTGTAACTTGGGAAGGGTTTGGTATTACTTCTCAATAAACATGCTTCCTGCAGTGGGTCTGTAATTTTTTTTTTTTTTTTTTGCATGCTATGGGATGAAGGATGAGTGACCGTGCATACACGAGTTTAATACAGATTTGATTGCACAGGCATCTACCTGTGCTGGACGATGGAGTTAGATTTCAGCTTCCACCTGTGTTTTCTGGGTCACCCATGAACAAATGCTCTACCCGAAGTCAACCATCCTTGCCATAAAGCTGTATACTTTCCGAAATACAGCTTTTTTTTTTTTTGCCTTCAAGTCACTGAGTTACGGCGACCTCGTAGGGTTTTCAAGGCAAGAGACGTTCGGAGGTTGGTTTGGCATAGCCTATCTCTGGATCACGACCTTGAACTTCTTTGGTGGTCTCCCATCCAAATACTAGCCAAAGCTAATGCTTAGCTTCCGAGATCTGACGAAATCGGACTATTCAGGAGGACACACATATTCCTAAAGAGCGCCTCTCCATTTTTAAAAGCCCATCCAAATTCTGCCGGAAGGCTCTCTCCCTGAATCACAATGCCATCGGGTCACGTGCCTCAGCCTGCCATTCAATCGGATACGTTCCTACGACCATTTAGACAAACGTCGGGAGCCTAAGGCTAGCTGGATGTCTAATGCAGCCTATTCGGGAAAATCATTCGGAGGCGCTCATGTAGAAAACAGCGGGAGCAGCAACAACGAAGTACAGAGTAAAACAATGCAATAGTAATACATTTTTATTAGCAAAACAAAAGTACACTGGTGCTCTCCTCGTAGGGAGTAAAGGATACAGCCCAATCTGCAACCACAGAACAACTGCACATTCAAGTATGAAACCCCCAATTTGCCCACCACGGTCTACTGCAATCTCGCCTTCTTTTCCTTAAAGCCCTCCTCCCCCCGTTTCCTGTCGACCGTAACCCCGCCTTTCCAGCGGTCGCTCCAACCTCTTCCTGTTTCCGTCTGTGTTACCAGCCCGGGTTGGAATCTTGACGGCGCGAATGGGAGTACCCGAGACTGGAAAGTTCAAGGCGTCCTTTCGCCTGCGCCGTCGTCTTAACTCCTCTGTGTGTGGCGTGCCTGCCCGGGGATCGGGGCTATCCAGGAGCCAGGGAGACTTTCCTTCTGCTCAGAGTTGCGCCTGCCCGCGGGGAGAAGCTGCTATGTCTCTAGGACTTCTTTCGCGCTGAGCGCTTTGTGCGCCTCCACAGCCACCATGGCCGGAGCACCCGGAATCCTGGCTGGGGAGCTCAGAGTGGGTTGATGATGCCGAGGGAGTTTGGGATCTCGGGAGGGAGGACGATGGGGACCAAGAGATCTGGGCACGGATCTCAGCCGGGAGTTTGGGCTCTGAAGCGGCACAGCTTGTTTAGGGAAATACACTCATTGATCTGGAAGACCTGTTCCCCAGTCCCCAAAACTTTTTGGATTCGGTTCTGAGCTCACTTTGGTAAGGGGTTTGGTAAGAGGCTTAAAGTTAGAGATTTAAAGTTTGGCTCTTCTTTTGTGGGGCCTCATTTGCTCAGCGGTAATGTGGGGCACTGAGCATTTGTCAGTGTCAGCCTAAGTAGAAATATGCTGTTCTAAGCTTAGGGGAAGGGAAAGGAGTTTGTAAGCCACTCTGAGACTCCAAGTGAAGGGCGTGGTATAAATCCAATCTCTTCTTCTTATCGACTTCAAGATACTTTGTAAAGTGTAACTCTGCTCTGAATTGCACTGTGTGTGTTTCAGCTTGAAGGATACTTGTGTGACTGGGACCCCTGCAGAAAGCTGGGGCTGTTGCCCGGGGAGAGGTGGAATTTAGCTTGTGGGGTGTGATTTGAATTAGGAACGCAACCAGCTGGGAAGTGGGAGTGTCTGTCGGTCCTCAAGGCTTTTGTCTCCTCAGTGATACAAGGACCACAAAGCTAATGGTTTGGAGATGTCCTTGGAAGGCTTCCTAAGGCCTTATCGCTGCTTTGCTTGAATAGCAGCCCAATTTAAAACAGATGCTGCGGAAACGCAAAATCCCATGGCTTTAGCCACAACAACAACCAGGCCTGTTCATCAGCTAATGGGGGCTGGGAACCTGTGACAGCTATCCTGAAACACTAGCTTTGGCTTCCTGTCGGAAGAGATCGGTTTCTGAGCGTCATTCAAGGTAGCAGATTTAAGGCAAAACTCCTAGTAGCCTAGGACCTTACATCTCTCAGTCAGAGGATGCCTCTCTGGTAACAACTCTCCTATTAAGATCTTGGGTTGAGACTCTGCTTTAGTTTCTGTTTGAGTTGTATCTGGCGAGTGCTGGGAGCATCAGGCAGGACCTTTTCAGGCATGGCCCCACATTAATGGAGTTCATTTCCCAAATAGGAATCCAACACTGCACGTTTTTAGAAAACAGTGGAAGGTTTAGCCCTTTGGGGGATCTATGCCCATGGCTGCTGTTTTGGGGTGTTCCTGGAGTCCTGATGAACAGGAAGAGCAGGCTAGAGTGTCCCTTTGCAGTGCATCTCCCTCCATGCTGCCTGACTGATTGCAAGGATGCGACAACAGGGGAGCTGTCATAGCTCCATGGTAGAGCACATGCCTGGCATGGTGAAGGCTCTATTTCCGATGGCTGCTTTTCAGTCCTTGGCATCTTCTGTTAAAAGAAGAAGTGCTTGGAAAGAACTTCCATTGCCTTCTCTGTCCAAGGAGAGCTGATGCTCGGCAGACTGGGCAGTACAGAGTAAGGTAGCTTCATATGTTCAGTCTCAGGAGAGGCTGTTTCTCAGAGGAAGCCCAGCTGATGAAGTGCAAAGTTGACCTTTTTGTAGAGCTGGAACCAGAATATATGAACACATGTAACTGCCGTATAGTGGATCAGACTATTGGTCCATCAGAGTATTGTCTACGCAGACTGGTCTGGTAGCATCTCCCCAGGGTCTCAGGCAGAGGTCTTTCCCATCACCTCCTACCTGCTCCTTTTAACTGGAGATGCCAGGGATTGAACCTGGGACCTTCTGCATGGCAAGCAGAGGCTCTGCCACTGAGCCACAATCCCTTCCCAGCTATGTGGGTGCAGGCAACCATTCATATTGGTTTTTCTGCTCTCTTCCTCAGGCAGAGCTGCAAGAGCATCTCGCCTGCCTAAGGAGACAGAGAGAAGAAGCAAAAGCTGATGAGGAGAAGATCAAGGAGCTGCTGGTAAGAGCTGGCCCTTTGCTTGCCTTTCTTTTCCATCCCATCGTTGTTAGAGGAGCAGTACATATATATATATATATATTGCAGACTTAGTCTTCTTTCCAGGCTTTGCCAGGTTACCACACCAGGAGTGGCTGGAGACTGGAATGCTCTCGGGCGTGTTAAGAAGTCCATAATTTTACCTGGGTATTGACCTCAGAGCCTCTGTCCAGGAAACAGCAGCAAAGACTTCTTCCTTTCACCAGAGAGGAAGGAGGATCTGGACTGGCTTGTCGGAGAAGAGCTAGGACCAAAGAGTTGGCCAGTTAGAGGTTTCCGGGAGGTTTATAAGTTTATAAGTAGGGTATGAAGGCTGCGGTAGCTCAAGTGGTTAAGATGCTGAACTGCAGGCTGTGGAAGGTCAGTAGTTCAGCAGTTCAAGACCCGACTGTGCCACATGACGGAGCGAGCTCCCATCTTTAGTTCCAGCTCCTGCCAACCTAGCAGTTCAAAAGTAAGAAATTGCAAGTAGATAAATAGGTACCACTTTGGTGGGAAGGTAACAGCGTTCCGTGCACCTTGGTGTTTGGCCACATGACCACGGAAACATCTTTGGACAGCGCTGGCTCTTCGGCTTTGAAACCAAGATGAGCACTGCAACCCTAGAGTCGGACTTGACTGGCTTTCGAGCAGGGGAACCTTTACCTTTACCTTTACCTATGAAGGCAACCGGTGGCCCCTGTTCTTTGATTCCTTTATCTGGTATACTTCTGCTGTGCACTGAGGTTCTGTACAGCTACCGTGACTCATAAGGACTCCATGCATGTTTTCATTAGTCCTGTTTTTATACCTCACAGAGACCTCAAATATCCTTTAGTGTAACAAGAACAAGATTTTTTTTTCCTTACTAGTTTAGGCCAAATCCAGTTCTGATGGGGTGGTGGTGTTTTGGATTGTACACAGTGAATTTGTCTGGTGTGTTGTTGTTTTTTAAAGCCCCTAAACTAGTGGCTCACCCCATAACTTGTGGCACTGAATTCCACTAGAGAAGTACGCATGGGGTAGAGGACAGTGTTCCCTCTAAGCTGAGTGAGTGGGAGCTAGCTCACAGTTTTTTAGACTCCAGCTAACACATTTTTGTCTTAGCTCAGGAAGGATGGCTCCGGAGCAAACTAATTTATGCAGTAGCCAAATCGCTCACTCACAGCTTTAATCTTTGCTCACAAGACTCCTCAGCTTAGAGGGAGCATTGGTGCAGGAGGTTTTGCCTCATGGTCCTGCTGTCTCTTGTGTACTGTGGAGCACTCTGCCATTTCAGCATATTGGGCTTTTATTATGGAACTGGAGGATCAAAGAGAGGCTGGAAAGGTTTGTAAAAAAAAAAAGGGTCTATTGTCTAACATGTTGATGTGCCCCCAGCCCACACCGACTTAGCCCTGTTCATGTGTTACAGTGAATGCAACACTGTTACTTGCGTTACATTGTTTAGTGTAGTGGTTAGAAGTGCGGACTCTAATCTGGGGGAACTGGGTTTGATTCCCCACTCCTCTACGTGCAGCTGCTGTTCTGACCTTGGGTCAGTTACAAGTTCATTCAGAGCTGTTCTCTCAGGAGCAGTTTCTGTCAGAGCTCTCTCAGCCCCGCCTACCTCACAGTGTGTCTGTTGTGGGGAGGGGAAGGGAAAGGAGATTGTAAACCTCTCTGAGACTCCTTCGAGTAGTGAAGAACAGGGTATAAATCCAATCTCTTCTCTTGCACATACAACCTGCACGTATACCTGTTTGTAAGGTCAATGAGCATTCAGTTTACCAATGAAAGCAGGGAGCAATACCTGGATAAATGTGGGGTTTCAATCACTCATTCAGCTGTACATGCGTTGAATGTTGTGTGAGAATTACTCAGCACGTATGTGAAGAAAAATCAAGTGTGAACTGGACACGGCTTGTACATGCGTCCACTGGAACTGGTGAACAGGACTAGGATTGCCACAAACCAAGCAGACATCTCCTCCTGGCACAAGCGAGGCTTGGACTGAAAGCTTGTACATCCCATCTGTCCCTTCTTGGTTTAAACAGTCAATCAGTATCAAAACCAAAATCGGTCACTAAATAAACCAAATAAAACCAAAACAAGTACAGCCCTTCCCTGCGAAACGCATCCAGTGGTCCAGCTCAGGAGGACCTTCCTTTGTTTGCAGAAGCGAATCGATGCCGAGAAGCAGAAGATCATCCGGGAGTGGAAGGAGCTCCGGGAGTACCTGGAGGAGCAGGAGCGGGTCCTGCTGGGCTGGCTGGCGGAGCTGGACAGGAGCCTCATGCAGAAGAGGGAGAGCAGCCTCTCCCGCCTCTCCAGGGAGATCTTCCTGCTTGACGATCTGCTCAGCAGGAGGGGAGGGGAGAAAGAACAGCTCTCCCCCAATGGCTCTATGCAGGTGAGAGTGCTTTATCCCTTAACCCACCTCACAGGGTTATTGTGAGGATCGCACAGAGGAGGATATGAGCCCCAGAGAGCCTTGTGTTCTGCGGATAGCCGTCTGCTGGTTGTTGCTGGCCTGAAAGATGCCCGTCTAGCCTCAACCAGGGCCAGGGCTTTTTCGGTCCTGGCCCCGGCCTGGTGGAACATGCTCCCGATTGAGATCAGGGCCCCGCAGTACCTGTTGCAGTTTTGCGGGGCCTGTAAAACGGAGCTTTTCCGCCAGGCCTTTGGTTGAGGCTGTGGGCATCTAGTGGCTGGCCTCCCAATTGCTGCTGCGTAAGATCATTTTGGCTTGGCGTCGGCCCATTTATCTCCCGGCTATAGAAACTGGAATTGAATGTACTGCACTGCCCATTTTAAATGTTTCAAATTGGTTTTATCGTATTATCTGATTGTAGTATTTTATAATTGTATTATTCATTGCCTTAAGCCTCCCTGAGCCCATTCGCGGGAAGGGCAGGATATAAATCGAAGTAATAAATAAGTAAATAAATAAAATGAGCTGCTTTGGGGTCTCATTGGGGAGAAAATTGGGATACAAATAAAGTAAATGTAATAATAACAGAATACAGAAGCTACGTTTTTGTCTGGGCTCCGTGGCACTCATTCAGATGGCCACTGAAACCGCAGTTGGTTGGTCCGAGCTCAGAAGTCCTTGGGCTTGCACGTTCCTTCCTGCCTAGCCATCTGCACCATGCTGAGACTTCCTGGTTTAGAACGACCTGCAGTTTGTCACGAGCAGATCTCTGAACAGGCAGCCATATAATCTGGGCACTGTTTACAAGCAGTTTGATTCTTGCCAGGATTTTAAACCTAGGATTTATTTTCCTCGTGGCTCAAGGCAGTTTACTACCCCAAATTTAAAATGTACACAATACCCCCCCCCCCAAGCCTTTGCCAAAGGCACGATGGTGTAAAGGTCTGAATCGATAGCATGTGGTACCGCGAGCCTGTGTTTCACTCAGAGGCTGAGAAAACAGGGAGGGGGCGGAGGGCTTATCCTGGCATGACAGCTAACAGAGAGTGGACCCTGAGGGAGAGGGGTCACTAGGCTGAGCCATCACTATTTACATTGGATGGGTGGCACATGCCATTCACCAAGGCAGTACAATCAGACCACCCCTAGACAAGGAAGGGGTTTCTGTATCACTGACAGGACAACTCTACGGGTATCACAAAGGTGAGAGGAAACTGAAAGCAGAGATCCTCCAAAATGACCTGAAGAGGACTAAACATGCTCCAAGAACTGCAGAATGGTCAAAGCAATGGGAAGTTAGTTGGAAGTGGAGGGGGAAATGGGCCTGATCAAGTTTCTGAGTGTTTGTAGAATCTGAGGAGGAGATGTGGGTGTGTGTGGATTTCCAAATCCTCCCATCCCCTGATTCCATTTGGGCTCCCCTCTAATGCTTTGAACACTAAGATTATTTGATCACATCTGAAGTCTATGAGCTCCAGATAGGATTCACATTGTCTAGACTTCCTCGAGAGCCGGAACTTCCAGTGGAACAGGCCTGTGTGACTAATCATTGCTTCTTTGTCTTCTCCATTAGGGCTTCAGAAGCACCGACAGCAGGTGAGTCTCTTGGCCCTTTTTACATTGTGCTTTTCTGTCAGGATGGGACCCACAATGAAAACTTGTTCTTCTGGCATTTGGGAACGTGCTTCCCTGAAGAGGACTAAACATGCTCCAAGAACCGCAGAATGTTCAAAGCAATGGGGAGTTAGTTGGAAGTGGAGGGGAAAATGGGCCTGATCAAGTTTCTGAGTGTCTATAGAATCTGAGGAGGAGATGTGGGTGTGTGTGGACTTCCAAATCCTCCCAATCCCCTGATTTCATGTGGGCTCCTCTCTAATGCTTTGAACACTAAGATTATTTGATCACATCTGAAGTCTATGAGCTCCAGATAGGATTCACATTGTCTAGACTTCCTCGAGAGCCGGAACTTCCAGTGGAACAGGCCTGTGTGACTAATCATTGCTTCTTTGTCTTCTCCATTAGGGCTTCAGAAGCACCGACAGCAGGTGAGTCTCTTGGCCCTTTTTACATTGTGCTTTTCTGTCAGGATGGGACCCACAATGAAAACTTGTTCTTCTGGCATTTGGGAACGTGCTTCCTGTTGATTTCTTTCTCTTCCTGTCTCCACCAGTAAGGAGGAGGTCACGTCCCTGAAACCGGAACTCAGCTTTGAGGAGCTGGAACAGAGGCTTGATAGTTTTTCTCAGAGAAAGGATAACCTGCAGGAACTAATGGTTGAATTTAAAGGTGAGCTGGAGTGTGGGTAACACGGTGCTCCCTTGTGAGTTTCCGCGTCCTTCTTCCCCAAGGCGTCTTTTCCCAAGGTAAATGGGCCAATCCCGGCTGTCCTGCACCTCATTGCAGCAGGAGGTGCTTCAGAATTCCCCAGGGGGCAGTACATTTGGGTCTGCATGGAGCACCAGTTCAGAAACCGCTTCCTCCATCATAGGGGGATGCTTGGTTCATTGGCAGCCATTTTGCGACTGGCCTTGCCTCCTATATCAACCATTTTGTGATGGTGTCTGTGACCCTTTCTTAACATTCCAAACGTGCCTGCAGGCTTAAGCTGTGGGACCCCTGTGCTAAGAGTCTGCCCCCAGCCCTGTCAGTTTTTGCTGTGCTGGTGATCCAGTGATGTAATTGCTTTAGGATGTACCTTGCACACGATAGCTCACTTCTTTATGGGACACATCCATGGAGGATAGGCCTAATCACTGGCTTTTTGGCTTTATGGTACCTCTTGAGTAGCAGGTGCTGGGGATAAACAGTGAGGGACGGCCTTGTGAACTTCCCTGAGGCATCTCAGGGCTCAAAGCACATCACATACCCAGTATCAGTGATCCTTACAAGAACCCTTTAAGGTAGGCTAGAGTTACCATCATCATATTGAAGATGGGGGAAATTGAGTTTTTCTGTATGATAGTGGACTTGCTAAAGCTACCTAATAAACCTTTAGCTGAGCTGAACTCTAAATGGGGGGACTTCCTAGCTTCATGCTAAGAGCCAGTGAGGAGCAGATTATTGGCTTTGTCTGTTGAGACCCAGGTTAAAATCCCCACTCAGCCAAAAAATTCACTGTGTCACTTTGGGGCAGGTCACTTATTTCCCAGCCTTCCCCACCTCGCAGAGTTGAAGTAAGGATAACCTTGGAGGAGGAAATGAGCGTACCCTCTCCTGAACCCCTTGGAGGAGCGGAGGGATGAAAAATAGTGATAGCTCAATTTGTTGCAGTTATCCTGCTTGTGGCCTTCCTAGAGGCAGCTGGTCAGCCATTGTGTGAACAGAGTGCTGGATTCGATAGGCCTTTGGTCTGATCCAGCAGGGCTCGTCTAGCTTGCCTTGTGCTGTCCAGATGGTCCTCTCTGTAAACCAGGACTGATAACGGTCTACCTAACAGGAGGCTTTAAAATATTGCTGCCCATCCACACCAGGCTAGGATCTGAGTGTAAATCTGAACCCCCCCTTAACTTGCCTTATCTTTTCCCCCTCAGAGACTTTACGGCTAGAGCTGGAGGTGGATGCAGGTACGTTTCTGCGTGTCATGGGGAGTGTGGCTGCAGTGGACTTAAACTGGCATAGCTCTGCTTAGGAGTGCACCAAGCGGCCTCGGCAATATAAAGAGATGTCTTGCAGGCACCGGGACAGCCATAGGGGGTAGGAAGGGCTGGATTGCTGTTTTGCTTGCCCCAGTGTGCCACAGGGGAATGAAACGCTTCTTCCCAACCCAAATTGTTATTTCTTTGTTAGTGTCATGGGTGTGATACACGACAAAGGAAACAAAATCAAAAGCTGCAGCCTAGAAGGAATGATTCATTGCACCAGAAAGAACCACCTTACACATTTCGAGCTGAGCTTGCCATTGGGGCAGAACCTATTTGCAATGAGTGCAGCTGTTACCTGCTTGAAAGGGTGCTTCCTACCCATTGTAGAGGGATCCTTTGCAGCGACAACAACAAAAAGAAATCCAAATTATGCAAAAAATTATCTAGTTCCAGGTAATTAAAAAACAAATTACTAAGCTTTATGGAAAGCACATTAGTGGTTTTGAATCCAGATTTTAAAACAAGTTCTTAGCACCAAGCTGGGATGTTTTTATTTTAGAGCAGGAAGTATTATGTGTTTGGAAGGTCATGTATTTCACTGAAAGAGAATCCAGGCCTTCTGTTTGGATAAATTTCTTTGTCCAGTGGGTATGAAGAAAGGATAGATGGGTGTATCACCCCTGGATAGAATCCAGCTATTGACTACTTTAAGATTCTAAAAAAAATGAGCATGTGCAAATTAATAGAAGGTTCTTTAGAATGTGGCTGCAAGCCCAGGCCTTCCATGAGCTGTAATTGCACTCACCTACTGACCTTCTGTAGGTACAGGAACCTCCAGCTGCACCAAAAGATGCACCTGGCCAGTTCATTGAGGCTCAAATGAGGAGCCCAGTGCAGACAGAGAGCCCCAGGCTGTTTCCATGAAAGGGCTTGTGGAGAAACCAGTTCTCTAAGAAGGAGAACAAACATTGTTTGTAGCAGTTTCAGAATATACAGTATTGTTATCTATTTCATCCATGGAGTCTCTGTAAGGGAATAAAAGGAGGGTTTCAGTGGGCTGCAATGTATTTTCAGTTGGTGAAGCAAATCACTGTTGTTGCTAAGGGCAGTGTAAAGGGTTACTAAAGGAGAGCTTTCAAGCTCAAAATAGGTTTTCAAGTAGGAGGAATGCCCTGAGGGGGCTCCTAAAGTCCAGAATTCCAGAACCAATCAGAACAAGGCTGGACCAAGGGCCAGCAATTGATTGGTTGGAACCTTCCCAAGATGGTATATGAGTGGCAGCTGAGTGAGGCAGAGAGGAGAGAAGCAGCAGGGAAGTGATTGGAAGGCAGAAGATATTTGGGAAGAAGGGAAGAAAGCTACTCACTGAGGCCTTCCAAGAGCTGGGTGAGTGAGAGGCAAGGAGGATTCACCATCAAAGAGAAGGTGGGAGAAAGAGCACAGATAGCCTAGGAGGAAGCTGGAAGCTCTGAGGCTGCATCTGTCTGAAAGGACAGAACGGATGCCTCAGCAGGACCAAAGGGAAGACTACGAAGCAGTCTGAGGTAGTCCTCTTCCAGTAGCAACAGGAAGCTGCCAGGCCGATCAGGACATTCTCCATCAAGTAACCTATGAAGTACTGGCTGGGATGGAAATCTGGCCTTTTAATACTGAGAATGACTATTTGTGCCTCATGTTGGCAACAGTCCTCTATTGAGGGACACAGTGGCATAGATATTTGATTTACAGTTGTTTAAGACTGATGTCTTTATTTCCAGGGGACCTGACAATAACCTGGTGAGGTTTGGAAACCTTTAGGGTCTTACCAGGGTGTCACAGGGCTCCTAGCAGTGGCCTTTGGTGGAAGAGGGACAGCAAAGGAGGGATGACAGTGGAAGGAATGTGCAAGTGAGCATAAGCATGTGCAATGAAAGAATCCTCCTGACCTCTCCTCTCTTGCCGTCTATCTTGACAGGCTTCAGAATAATGTCCCTGTCTCACTCCAGAGGGTCCTCTCCTCGTGAAGAACATGGTTTGGAAGAAGAAGCTTTGCCTGCAGCAGAGAGAATTCAGGTATGTAACATTGTGGTAGTAATATTCAGAGGCAGAGACCAAGGAATTACATAGGTCTCTGAAGCCCCCTACCCCATGACCACTGGGAGCTCTAAAAAGACTCTCTCTGGTTTGGGGAGTGGCCGCTCATATCCATACTCCTGTTGTCCTAAGATCAAAAGTTGCTTTAAAAATTCAAAAAAAATTAGAAAAGGAAAGCTAAGATTTACAGGATTCCACGTTGCTGTGGAACTAGGATCTTAAATTTTTGCAGATGTTGATTCCCCCCCCCCCAAGATTCCAAGTTTCCATTGGCTACGTGAACACACAGAATGAACACAGTCAGAAGCTTCCCACTTCTTTATGAGCAAGCTGGATCTGATTTTTGCCTAATTTTGGGAAACTGTTGGGTTTTACAGGCTCCAGTGGTCTCCTGTCAGGCAGCTGAATACATTGGCATGGTGCCTTGGGCTTCTAAGGAACCAGTGGAGCCACAGATAAGCAGAGGCCTAGGGGACCAAAGAGAAGGTGAGTTGGTTATTTATACATTCCCACCACTCCAGGTGCTGGTTCTTCTCTTCAGATGTACTTGAAGTTTGATCAGAATTGCACTTAGAGTAGATTTTGTTGTTAGAGTAGTGTTTCATGGTTGCTTTTTATGGTAGTGCTTGATTTGGGTTTGATCAAGTATGTGCTTAACCACCTCAGAGCTCTTTGAGCCATGCGGTGGTCATAGTTACACATTTCCAAAACTTAATATAGGACTTCATTTCTGTCAGGAGATCTTATGTTAGAGTATCTCCATCCTGTGTGCAAATACTCCCCTTGGGGCTAGTGATGCCTCCAGCATTTATCATTCCCATCCTAATGCTGGCCTGTGAGGTCTGTGTTCAGATCCCTGTTCTGACACAAGGCTTTACTGGATGGCGTTGGGCCACTCATGCTGTCTCAGCCTGACTTACCTCAGAGGATAAAAATGGAGGAGGGGAGAATAACAGATGCTGCTTATAAGAAGAATGGGATTTTTAAAATGTGAGGTACTGCTCGTATAAAGTTTTCTTTTCTTTCTTTAATCCGAGTTGGAGAGGGCATGGCGCATGAAGCTGCAATACAGGTGCCACAGCGGGAAACCCCTGAACAAGGGGAGATGCATGCGACTGCACTGGGCGAACATTGTGGGGCCATTTTACAGAATCCCAAGAAGGAGGAATCTTTTGAGGTGGAGTACGGACCAAGAAACAATTCTGTGGAAATCCAAGGCAGTAAAAACCACCAAGGACCCCAAATATGGTCCAATCCACGTACAGAAAAGAAACCCCACAAGTGCCCTGTGTGTGGGAAGAGCTTCCGCCGGTTTTCGACCCTGATTACCCACCGGCGCATCCATACCGGAGAGAGGCCTTATGAATGCCACCAGTGTGGGAAGAGCTTCAACCAGACATCCAACCTTTTCCGGCATTTGAAAATCCACACAGGCGAGAAACCCCATGCTTGCCCTGAGTGTGGGAAACGGTTCAGTTTTGTCTCAGATGTTGCCAAACACCAGAAAAGCCACATAGCAGAAAAATCTCTGACATGTTCTGTGTGTCAGAGAGGTTTCAGGGACCGCTTAACCCTGGTTAAACACCAACGGACTCATGGAAGTACAAAAGCCTACAAGTGTCCTGACTGCGGCAAAGGTTTTAGGTTTAATTGCTTCCTCACGGCCCATCGGAGGAGGCACACAGGGGAGAAACCATACAAATGTGCCGAGTGTGGGAAAAACTTCAGTTCTCACTCAGCCCTTCTTACTCATCGCAGAGTCCACACAGATGAGAAACCCTATAAATGTTCTGACTGTGGCAAGAGCTTCAGTCAGAATTCAACTCTGAAGACCCACCGACGAATTCATACAAATGAGAAACCCTATGAATGTCCAGGCTGTGGGAAATGCTTCGGCCAGCGTTCCACTCTTATTAAACATGAGATAATCCACACAGGTGAGAAACCCTACCAGTGCACTGAATGCGGCAAGAGCTTCAATCGGAGCTCAGCCCTTCTAGCACATAAAAGAATTCACACAGGAGAGAAACCTTTTGAATGCCCAGACTGTGGGAAGAGCTTTACTCAGAATGGACATCTTAATAGACACCGGAGAGTCCACACCAAAGACAAAGGAAGCCAGTAAAGGAGTTCCTTCCTAGGCTGGAAATGGAAATTTGTGCTTATTAATAGAACTGTAGTTGACGATGCTTGGTTAGATAGCCAGTTCACTGGCTGTTCAAGCTTTCATGGAGCCATTTGGAACAAAGAAAATGCAGTCATTGGGTCTGGGGGAAGTTCTGCCTTGGATGTATAGGATATTAAAGAAATTGTCCATCCCCCTCCCCCGATGCAGCCATTTCCCCCCATTAATGTTATCTGTGATGGGAATGCTTACCTGGCTGTCTTCCTCTCCAGAAATCTTCATATTAACATCTTTCTCCTAAATTTCCTTCCTGGTTTTTTATCAATATATTTAATTCTCAGCATGGCCAAATCTGTGGACATTTAAATATGAGGACTGGAGACATAAACAGAAGAGGTATTTCAAAAATCCCCAGGTTTGCAGAAAAATCTGAAATCTTAAAAAACAACAGCACTGAAGGGCTAATACCCCCTCCCCCAATAACAGAAGTAGTGCCTGTGGTTTTTAGAAAATACACCTGTTGTGGCTGGATGACTACAGGAGTATTGCCAGCCTTTCAGCCTTGGTTTTTGTTAGTAAAGGGGGGGGGGGCTTTTCAGGGCTTCTTGAGTCTTTAGCTACCACTAGGTGACTTGCTACCATGTGACTTCTATGACTCACCTAGGCCTGGCTGCTCACTATTTTTCAACAGGAAAAAACCACAAGCAAACTCTGTGCTATGAACAACATTTATAAGATTTACATTGCTTTTCTAAAACTTTACAAAAGTGCAACAATTTGTCCAACATTCTTACTTATACAATATTGCAAAAAAGTACACATAGTGAAGAAACACCCACGCCGACCCGTGGCCATGGGCTTCCCCAGAGCCTCCTCCTGTGAGGGGCTTGGGCCAGACACATTTTGTCCTGAGGGGGCAGGAAGAGAAAACTGAGCAGGGGGAAGGGGTTGAGATGGCAGGTGCTTGGGACGCACCACCTCCACCTCTTCCTCTTTCTCCTGTCCCAGCCTCCTCTCCCCCCCACAGGAGGCCTGCTGAGGCCTTGAGGCACCAGAGGAGTGGACAGGTCACCCAGCTCCTCCTCCAGTTCCTCTAGAGCCCTCTTAGTCCTTGGAGTGAGCCCTGAGAACAGAGTGTCCCCAAAGCTCAACCCCATGGACTGTCCTTGCTGCCCCTCCTCCTGCCGCTGAGTCCCAACAGCTGGAGGAGGAACTGCCTGAGCAGCAAACCCCTGCCCAGTGCCAGCACCTACAGGCACCTCTGCTGGGACCACCCCAGAAGCATCCTTAAAGATGGCGAAGAGAGACACACGTGGTATCTTCACGCCGGCACCACCCTGGCCAGAGGTCAGAGTGGTGCCAGGATGCTCAGTTGTGGCCCTGTGCTTAGGTGCGGGGAGAGCCGCAGCTTTCCCCTCCCCCCC